AGACTCAGGCCATCCTGACGGGGCTGGGGCTTTCTGTTTGGGGGCCACACGCAGTGATGCTCACAACTTATTCCTGGCTCTGCACTCAGGAGTCACTCCTGGCAGACCACAGGGAAGCCATGTCGTGCGGGAAGCTGGGAATCAAACCTAGATCATCCACATGCAAGGCAGATACCCGACCCGCTGTGCCTTTGTTCTGGTCCTGTGTACCTATTTTAGGTACTTGTGTAACTTGTGTCACAATTGGGGAAAGTTGAAGCTGCCCTGGTCTAAACAACCAGGAGAAAAGACACTCTCTTGTTCTGGACACCGCTGCTAATTATGCTCTTGAGCCTGTGACTTTGGAATCCCCGTAGCCTTTAATCTGCAGCACACAACCCGTTACCTTAGTTACCTGCTCATCCTCAGCATGCCAGAAGGGGCCTCTTGGTTGGTGAGATTTTTCTGAGAAAATTTTATGTTCGCTGTGGGGAGAAATAAAAGTGTTTTTACTGTCAACAAACTCCTGTAGGTAGTAGATGGTGAGTGGTTGCATAACGGAGCTGATGGGGAGCCCTCGAGACACCCTCCTAACGGCTCTCTGTTGAACACTGACCTGTCTCACGCGGAGAGTTGGGGGGGCCTGAGGTGGGCTGGGGGTGGTTGTGGGTCTTCCCTGTGGGCCTTTCTGGAACCTACCCTACACGGTCAAGACTGGTGAGAGTCCTCACTGTAGGCCATCCTCCAATGATGTAGTCACCTCCTGCTCCTTCCCACGGTGCCTAGAGAGAAGCCCCAGCATCCTGTTTTCAGCCTTACAGAGCAAAAGGAAAGGAAGAGTGTGTTGTGTCTCTTTGTACCGGCCTGTCGCAAAGTCATCATTCACATGGACGCTCCAGCAATCGTATCAGGCAGGGAGTTTGCTTTGCACACTGCGTTTGATCCCCGACATCCCATATTGCCCCCTGAGCCCCACCAAGAGTCATCCCTGAGCACAGAGCTAGGAGTAAGCCCTGAGCGCTGCCATGTATGGCCCCAAAATAGAACAAACAGAAAAAATCAAATGGAACCCACAGAGGATTTCAGGCAGCCCAGACTGGGCATTCTTATTTTCCACTGATGAGTGAAACAGTGTCTGGGCCCCTCCGTTGGGGGCAGCCAGGTGGCTCTCCTGCCCCTAAGGCAAGCTTCGGTGGAAATCTGAAGTAGGGCTGAACTGGAAAAACACAGTTGGGCTGAGAGGCATGCTAGAGCCTTTGTTTCCAGAGACTTTGCAAATGTTCCTTGGCTCTGGCCTCCCCCACCCGCAGCCTTCATTTCACTCCCACACAGACTCGAATTGAAAGGAGTTAATGGATTGATGAGATGCTCGCGCTTCATTCATGGAAGCGACAGAAGGAGCAGAGTAAATTGATTTTTCTCCATTCGTGCCTGTTTTGGTTGGGTGGTTTTTATTTCTTCCTCCTCTCCCTTCCTTTTCCCTCCCTCCTTCCCCTCTCCTCTCCCCTCTCCTCTTTCCCCTCCCCTCCCTTCTCCCCTCCTCTCCCTCTCTTCCACATGCCCTGCTTGTACTCTACCACTGAGCCACAGCACACAATCTGGTGTGGTTCTCTGTGCCGTGGAAGCTACGGATATGGCCAGAACATTGGTTTTCAGCCTTTTGGGGAGAGATTGAGGTAGGGACTTGTCTGCCCCTTCCACCCCCTCTCCCTCCCCCTCCCCCCCCCAAAAAAAAAACCAAACCCGGTGGTGTTCAGAGCTTACTCTAGACTCTGCTCAGGGATTACTCCTTTACTACCCAGTTTTCAGTTTGACCTTTTTACCCCTGCAGACTAGCAGTTGAAAACCACTAGAATGGAAGGTGGTACTTGAGAGTCTCCTGGTTTTATTTTTTTTTCCAGCTGAGTTCTCAGCCCATGTCAAGTCTTTGTCTTCCCTCTCTGCTGGGGAAGCAGAATTCTTTCCTGACACAGCATAGGTACTGAACTCAGAAATTAGAGATCTCTCCAGTCACTTAGAAGCTGTGTACCTCGGGCAACTCATTTAGCATCCCTGAGTATCAGTTTCCTCCTTTGTAAATAGGATTAAAACCTCCAAACAAACAAGCCCCCAAACCAAATAACTTTGGCCGGAAAAGTAGTATAGAGGATCAGGCCCTTGCCTTGCATTTGGCTGACCATGTTTGATCTTCAGTAACCCATTATGGTCCCCTGAGCGCCACCAGGAGTAAGCCCTGAGCACCGCTGGGTGTGGCCCCCAAAATAAGGGGCTAAAGGCAGTTCAAGGCAGTTACTTTATTGGCAGTATTAAATAAGATGTGTGTGATGCTCTTGGCTTTGATCAGTCTTGAGTAAATGATAGATTCTTTCTGGAATGGGCACGGGTGGGGAAGGAGTCACCTGGTTGTCCTTGGGGACCAGTCAGTACTAGAGATTGAATCCCGGGTTCCCTAGTGCAGAGTATGTGCTCCAGCCCTATTTGCCATCTCCCCAACTTCTTTTTTAGTTTTTATATTTTTTTTAGCTTTTTGGGTCATACCCAGCCATGCACAGGGGTTACTCCTGGCTTTGCACTCAGGAATTACTCCTAGTGGTGCTCGGGAGGCCATATGGGATGCTGGGAATCGAACCCAGGTCGGCCACGTGCAAGGCAAATGTGCTACCTGCTATGCTATCACTCCAGCCTCCTCCCCAGCTTCTTACATATTAGCCTAGTCCCAGAAACCTCTGTCAGAATTCAGGAGGCTGAGCTCTTGTGTTGCATCTTTCATCTTTCCTCTTGACTGAAAAGAACTATAATAGGTACTTGGATAATATGTCTTGTTTGGGGTGTGGTTTTTTTTTTTTTTTTTTTTTTTGCTTTTTGGGTCACACCTGGCGATGCTCAGGGGCTACTCCTGGCTCATGCACTCAGGAATTGCTCCTGGCGGTGCTCAGGGGACCATATGGGGTGCTGGGAATTGAACCTGTGTGGGTCATGTTGGCTGCATGCAAGGCAAACGCCCTACCCGCTGTGCTATCGCTCCAGCCCCTGGGGTGTGTTTTTTTTTGTTGTTGTTGTTCATTTGTTTTATTTTGTTTTTGTTTGGTGGTCACACTCAGCAGTGCTCAGGCTTTTCACTCAGGGATCACTCCTGCGGAGCTCAGGGGATCATATGGGGTGTTGAGGTTTGAACTTGGGTTAGGCACATGCAAAACAAGTGCCCTGCCTGCTGTACAGCCCCTTGGCTAATGTTGGTTGAACAAACATAGGGGTCATTGCCTTAGAACTGTGCATTTCACAGAGTTTTGCACTGCGAGACGCTTTGAGATGTCAGTTCGATTTGGAAAATGCTGAGTCTGCAATCTGCAGATTGTAGCCATCCCTCGAGGTAAAGAATGCATATCACTTCACTGTTGGAGAAACTGGGGAAAGGTGGGCAAGGGGAGAGAAGAATCCTGCCTGGTTTGTGAAACTTGGCATTTTTCAAGCCCATATTTACATTGGACGTGTGGGACAATGAATATTGTCGCACACAGTCCAGTGTAACAATGTGATAATGAAAAGAGGCTTAAAGGAGTTAACACATGCAAAGCACCTAGAACAGTGCTTGCTGGGCAGGATGAGCACCTGTGACTGTTAGTGCTTTTTTTCCCCCTTCGTTTGTGGGCCACACCCAGCTGTGCTCAGGGCTTACTCTGCATTTAGTCATTACTTGTGGGGAGCGATAGCACAGCGGTAGGGCATTCGCCTTACAAGCGGCCAGCATGGCCGACCCGAGTTCGATTCCTCCGCCCCTCTCGGAGAGCCCGGCAAGCTACCGAGAGTATTCGATATGCCAGACACAGTAACAACAAAGTCTCCAATGGAGACGTTACTGGGCCCGCTCGAGCAAATCGATGATCAACGGGAGGGCCTTTACTTACTTTACTTACTTACTGCAAGCAGTGGTGCAAGCGATTAAACCTGTGCAAGACAAGTGCCCTACTCACGGTACTATCTCTTCAGCCCCATATTGGGGCTTCTTAGCCATGGACTCTTTGGAGCATTCAGTCATTTTCTTTTATGTTTGGGGCCATTCGTGATGATGCTCTGGAGACCATATGGTCCCTGGAATTCAACCTGGGGCTCCAACCTGTAAAATATGCACTCCGACCCCTTGAGCTCTCTTCCTAGTCCTGTCATTCTGTTACTGATGAGCATTTAAGTCATTTTCAGTGCTACATTAATTAATATGGACAGTACTTCAGCAAAAACTTCTTGGGGGCATTACCCAAAATTTTAGGGTTAAAGGATTACACGTTTAAAAATGTGATAGAAAAAAATGTGATGGGGGACAGAGAGGAGGTAGGGCAGTTGCTTGTGGCGGAGCCTGGATCAAATCCCTGGTGCCACAGATGGTCCTCTGAGCACCACCAGGGATCATTCCTGAGCTGAGAGCCAGGAATAGCCACTGAGTACCGCCGGGTGTGGCTCAAAAACAATAACACACAAAAAGAAGACCAAGAAGATAGCTGCAAAGGTTAGAAAGTATGCGTTGCAGGCCAGAGAGAAAGTACAGTGGGAACTGCCTTGCTTGGAGCTGACCCTCGTTTGATCCCTGGCACCACGTACGGTCCTCTGAGCACAGAGTCAGAAGTAATTCCTGAGAACAGCCCCCAAACAAAAAAAGCAAACCAACAACCAAAAGTATGCTTTGCATGCAAGAGCTTCTGGTTTAGTTCTCAGCACAGCATGGCTCCCTAAATTCTGCTAGCTGCGCTGCCAGGAGTGGCCCTAAAACCATAAAAGAAAAAAAGGCTTTGACTCCTCAGGATTGTCCTCCAAAATACCTGCTTGTCTAGCTGTTTCTTTGCCTAGTAAAGAGGTAAAGCTGTTTTGTCACTCAACACACCTGTTGATCCTTCCCTCCTCCACCTCCTCCTCTCCTGCTCCCACTTCTGCTCCCCCTCCTGCTCCTGCTCCTCCTCCTCCTCCTTGTCCTTTTGTGCTCTGGAACTGACCGTGGCACTACTAAGTCACTCCTCTCTCTTGTCTTGCAGAATCTGGCCACAGACGCGGGACCAAAATGACCGACTCAAAATACTTCACCACGACCAAGAAAGGTACCATGTGTCTCATTGTGGGGTCTGGTCCTGTTGTTTCTCTGCCCGTGCATTTTCCTCACTCCTGTAGGAGTAGGGAATGGGGTCGGGGTGGTGGCTTGGCAGCCAGCAGTGGGAATTCCCCAGAGCATCGTAACCTTATGGATCCCTGAGAAGTGTGTCTGTTGATGGTAGGAGAAATGATCTGCCACTTGTAGAACTCAAGAAGGGAAGAGCAAGCATTCTGAGCAAAGAGAAAACTCTTTTCTTTCCCCTGGCCAAACAAGATTTCCAAATGTGATTTCCTTTTCCTAGAGGAAAGCAGGGACATGCTCCTATCAGCCTCCCCACAGTGATATTCGTGTGTCTGGTCCTTATCAGCGGGCACATGTTTTACGTAGTTGACGTCAGGCGTTCATATCCTGTTTTTCATTTGCCATTATCATACATATTTCCCCCAAGTTCTCACCATTGGGTCTCCGTCTGCTGCGTTGCTGTGCTCCGCGGGCGTTCTCTTGTTGGGTATTGGGGCGGGGGCTGCTTTTCGGGAAGCCGGTTGTTGGAGCGGCTGACACATGTGCTTTAGCTCTGTAAGCATCTTTCTGACCCTCCTGCCTTCCTCCTTCCTTCCCTGTGAGATTGACACTTTCCTGCTGGCCCGACAGCGAGTCTGTCATTAAATCAGCCGAGCCCACAGCATTTTATTCATTGGCCCCGCCCGTGTTTGACCGAGCCCTTCCAGGTGTGGAGGAGGAGACACACGGCCTCTGAGCTGGCTTTGCTTGGCCGTTGAGCAGAGGAAGACGGTCTACTCAGTCTCAATCACACCAGACGGGGGTGGGTGCTATGATAAGACAAAGGCAGGGGGCTGTTGGAGAGCCCCAGGGGAGCGAGCCAGAAAAGGGGGCATTGAAGAGAAGCTGGAGTAGGGTGCAGGAGCGGCTGGTGTGGGCCCTGAAGAGCCAGTCCAGAGAGGTGAATTTGAGTGCTGAGTAGATTAGGGTGTCTGGGATGGGCTGGAGGGGGTAGGTGGGCTTTTTTCTTCTCTGGGGGTGAAGGGGTAAAGGGGTGCTGACAGTGAAACTCAGGGCCTCACACATGCCAGGCGAGCATTCTGCCACAGAGCCGTAGCCCCAGCCCTGTGGGCTTTTGCGGGGAGAGGGCATGAGGATGTTGGGACCACGTCCGGTGGCGTTCGGGGTTTTCTCCTGGCTCTGTGCTCAAGGATCGTGCTGGTGGACCAGATGCAGTCCTGGGGATTGAGCCCGGCTCAGTACTGTGACCCCTGTGCTCACTCTCTCTGGCCGCATGCGGCTGGTTTTTGTGATGCTAGTGTCTGTCAGCCCAAGTTGAAGAACAGCTTCCTTGATGGTTTTTATCAAGGAACGTCCAGGGCTGATTCTGATGAAGGATAAAGGGAGAAAGGAGAGGAGAGGCAGGGAGATCACTACCACAGTCCCCCGTGCCCCCCAGAGATGAGTGTGTCTGAAGGGGGTGTGTATGTGGAGGGGGCTGGTAGGGATATTGTCGGGTGGTGGCATTGGGGTGCAGACAGTTGGAGTTCTTGTTTGTGGTTAATGAAGTAGACTTAGGGGTTAATTGAATTGGGTCCCTGAGAGGAAAGAGACATTTCTGACCCAGACAGATCCCTCCAGTTTTTGGGAGGCCAAGATCCATCAACTTGACTGGTAGTTGTCTGGAGTCTGTGGGCAGGTGTTGAGCAAAGCAGGGGTCCACTTTTGGCAGCTTGGGCTCCCTGAGCCGTCCAGGCTTGTTGGTTCCTGCTCTGGGAGACAGGCTCCCCGGCCTTTGAGAGAGAGGCCTGGGAGCCCTGGATTTGAAATGCTAGCTCTGCAGATTCTTTCCAGCTCTGCTGAGCCATATCCTTTGTGTGGCCTTGCCCCTGGCTGTGCCGTGTGACTGTTTTTAATTAACCTCCTTTGCCATCTACTTAAGTTCTTTGCTGAATACCACATCATTCAGTCCTGATTTAAAAAAAAAAAAAACAACCCTCTAGCCTGGGGGCTGGAGAAGTAGGTGGGGTTTTTGCCTAGCATGCAGCCGGCTCAGGTTCAATCCTCAGCATCCCATAAGGTCCCCCAAAGACCAAAAACAAAATTAAAAAAAAAAACCCTCTCGCTAGTTCTTCTTTTTCTCACTGTAAATCCAATTAGTACTTCTTCAGCCCTCTCCCCACCCCCACCCCTGTTCAAAGATAGACTGCTGTACTCGAACCCTTTTCTTTCTGCCAGAGAGACGTTTGAGAGTGCTAGAGAGAACATTATGTAAGGCACTTGCCTTGCATGCAGCCGACCGAGATTCAATCCCTGGCATCCCATTTGGTCCCTCAAGCCTGCCAGGAGTGATTCCTAAGTGCAGAACCAAGAGTAACCCTTGAGCATCGGTGGATTTGACCCAAAAAAACAAAAGAGAGAGACAGAGACATCCAGGACTTGGGAAAACCAGCAGGAAGAACAGTGTTCTCTGCGCATGACTCCTTTTTTTTTTTTTTTTTTTTTTTTTTTTTGCTTTTTGGGTCACACCCGGCGATGCTCAGGGGTTACTCCTGGCTCGTGCACTCAGGAATTGCTCCTGGCGGTGCTCAGGGGACCATATGGGGTGCTGGGAATCGAACCTGTGTCGTCCATGTTGGCTGCGTGCAAGGCAAATGCCCTACCCGCTGTGCTGTCACTCCAGCCCCTGCGCATGACTCTTGAGAGTCGAGTTTGAGTGAGGGTTTTCCAGGAAGAGGTATCCGACCCTCCAGTCCAGGTAGGGTCCAGATGAGGAAACAGGTTAATAGAAGTAAGGTGATATCCTGCTCAGTTGGACCAGAGGATTCAGATCATGGACCTGGGCACTGGCCGCAGGCCCTTCCAGCTGTGTGATCTTAGGCACAACCTCCATTTACTCATCCGTAAAATGGGAGCAAACGCAGCTGTGAGGACAACATGCAGATGACATGCAGAAATGTGGGACATTATGACAGCAGCTGTGCTGAGGGCCAGAGACCTGTGTAACCCCAGAGTCTGCACACTCGGACCCCGTTATTAGGGTTATCGGGGACCTCTCTGTGACAGGCAACCGTACTTCCTCATTTTTCTTTTTTCCAGATCAAGCTTTTCATCCAGCTGTTCAAAGCAGCTAGTTACATGCCCCTCGTGGGGTAGCCAATTCCCGTTTTCAGAGCTGAGCAACCACCTCAGGAAGCGAAACCCTGAGTGAGCACTTTTAACTGGAAGCTCTGGGCCAGCAGAGCCAGCCCCTGAGCAGGAATTCAGCTTCTTCTCCTGTCGCCCCTTCAGCCTCAAGCCCTGCGATTCCATTCCACGTGGCCTTGAGGCCTGTGGGTGTGGAGGACTGGGCCTTCTTTTCTATGCTTCCGGTCTGTCTGAGCAGGCCCTGCCTTCATGCTTCTGTTCCCTCAAAATCCTTGGAGCTTCTACACATCCTCTCCCTCAGGGTTGTCCACGTGGCTCCATCACGGTCATGCTTTTCCTGCTATGCAGTCCTCTCAGCTGCCTGGCCCACGGGACACTGGGGCCCGGAGGTGGCCTCGGCCGGCAGCATGGCATAGCTCCTGAGGACCGGGCATTGCCCAGCTGGCGGGGCGGGGACAGCTCACTCACGCCTGCCTCCTTTTGTAGGGGAGATCTTCGAGTTGAAGGCAGAGCTCAACAGTGACAAGAAGGAGAAGAAGAAGGAGGCAGTGAAGAAAGTGATCGCCTCGATGACCGTGGGCAAAGATGTCAGGTGTGCAGGAAGGAGGCTTTCTAGCCGGGGGCGAGTTCAGATCCCTCCAGATCCCTCCTGAGGCCATCTCTGGGGACCCAGACCCCCCACCACCACCAGCTCCTCTCTCGAACCACCTGCCCATGGAGAGCATTGTGCTCACGAGGGTCAGGCACTCAAATGCTGGTGGGCCAGGCCTGATGGAGCAAGGGATAGGACTCAATCTAAAAAACCGCCAGTGAAGTCTTTGTGGCATGAACCCTGCCCAACTCCCCCTGACACTGCTGCCAGTGGGGCTGGGGGATATCCCCACTCCACCCCCGTGCATGGATGGCTAGGGCCCCCTGCTTGTAGGAGGAACAGGAAATCCAAGTTTTCATTCTAAGTCTTCCTGTTTCAGATTGCTAGATGATACTGAGCAAAGAAACAAATGCAGGGCTGGAGCGATAGTGCATTGCTCTGCACGTAGCCGGCCTGGGTTTGATCCCTGACCTCCCATATGATTCCCGAGCCTGCCAGGCATCCCTGAGCACTGCCTGGCATACCCCTTACCCCCACCCCTCATCACCACTACCAGCAAAAATAAATAAATAAACGGAAAGAAAGATGTAAGTCACACACCTGCCGATGAGATGGGTGGCCTCTATCCCCTGTGTCGCCTCTGGTGTACATCTGATATCAGAGCCAGTGGTGTGTGTAATTGCCTCTCCCTTGAGCATGCTTTTTCCCTGCCAGTAACATCCCTTTCCCATTTTCCAGTCACCCAGCTCAACATTACCACTTGTTTGCAGTCTCTCTGTTGCTGTCCCCTGTCACTGCAGTCCACTGCCCTGAAACTCATGTCCAGTCTTGGCTCTGTGCCCATCACCTGTTCTCTTTTCTCATGTATTTGTACTGACATGTAACATGGTAGATGTTATAAAGGGCTGAAGGATGGGGAACTGGATATTCCAACAACCCAGCACCCACCCAGTGCTGGAGAATCTGCAGAACTCTTGTCACCTGTGTTCTCCTAGTGATGCCTTTCACTAGGAGAAAACGGTTGCTATTACCAGAAGCATGAGGAAGAGTGAAAGAGCCACTGAGTGCTCTTGTGATGAGTGGTGGCACGAAGACTGCCCCCCTCCACCACCCCTGGCCTTTCTGAAATCTAAGCCCATTCTCTTGACCCATCTCTGCCCTCAGGTACCCAGCCAAACAAGCCTGGGTGACTTGCCCTCTCCCCTCACCACCCTCGGTATGGCACCTCCTGATCTCCCTGCAGGAGTTGCAGTTGCTGAGGGACGCGGGAAAGACAGTGGCCACTGGGTCAGGCTGGCACACCAGGCCTCCTTGCAAGTCAGATTCCTTCTAGGACAAAGCCAGCCTCCCCCCGCTAGGACTTGCCGTCACCTTACAGGGAAAAAAGGCTTTGTTTTTGTTTTGTTTTGTTTTTTTTTGTCTCAGATGAGCTTGTGAGGGTGGAAGGGCCCCCAAGAGACCGTCCGGTGGGAGGCAGCGTACTCAGTGTCCACCTGACTCTGGCCCATGGGGACCCTGGGAATTTCCCACTTGTGTGTCTTTGCCCACTGTCTCAGGCCACAGGACTCGGGAGAGAAGGGGTTAATGCTGGGCTGAAGCTGGGAGCTGACCCTCTGCCACACGTGTTGCTGGGATGGGGGTACAGTGGCAGGGCGAGGCCCACCCCACATTCTACAGTCATGTGCAGGAGCGTGCCATAGCTGAGCCTCAGTATTATTATCTGTAAGTCAGGGATGATCCTTTGACTGCTCAGGGCTGTGACCAACACATACATGTGCTTTGTATGTGCTAGACTGTTCTTAGTGGGCACCTGAGAGAACCTCTAGGACCAGCAGCCCATGCAAGGATTCATGTTAAGTCGGGAGGGGAAAAAATCATTTTCATTTATTTTTTGGTTTCTGTAGGGGACCTCACCCTGCGGTGCTCAACAACTACTCCTGGCGCATTGGTAGAGGGACCGTGCAGTGCCAGGGGTCGAGCTCAGGCTTTCTTTGAGCAGACTGTGCTTTAGCCCTTTGTGCTGTCTCCCTAGCCTAGTGGACCAGATCTGTCATGTCCTTGAGTTTCACAGGGGCCCCGTGAGGTGGAGTTCTGTGGCACCTCTCTTGAAAATGAGGAAACGAGGCTGAGGAGAGGAAGGAATTTTCCCATTGTCATGTAGTTAGCAAAAGGGAGAGCTGCGGGGCTGGAGCAATAACACGGCGGGTAGGGCGTTTGCCTTGCCCGCGGCCGACCTGGGTTCGATTCCCAGCACCCCATATGGTCCCCCGAGCACCGCCAAGTGTAATTCCTGAGTGCAGAGCCAGGAGTAACCCCTGAGCATCGCTGGGTGTTACCCAAAATGAAAAAAAAAAAAAAGAGCTGGGTTGAAACACTCCACAGCTCATGTCTGGATCCTGTAAGAACAGAGGACTGTTTTTGTTTTAAAATCAAGTCCAGGACTGGAGTGATAGCACAGTGGGTAGGGCGTTTGCCTTGCATGCGGCTGACCCAGGTTCGATTCCCAGCATCTCATATGGTCCCCTGAGCACCGCCAGGAGTAATTCCTGACTGAAGAATCATGAGTAACCTCTGAGCATCACTGGGTGTGACTCAAAAAGCAAAAATAAAATAAAATAAAATAAAGTCCATTTGGGCTGGAGAGATAGTACAGTGGTTATGGTGGTTGCCTTGCATGTGACTGACCAGGGATCGATACCAGGCACTCCATATGGTCCCTCTAAGCCCTCCAGGGGTGATCCCTGAGTACAGAGCCAGGAGTATGACCCGAGCACAGCCTGGAGTGCCCAAGAAACAATAAAAAAAAAAAGAATGAAATAACATAGTCTTTGTATGAGCAGGGGCTCCTGATCCCAGCAGAGCTGAGACCTTATTTACTCAGATGTCACGTCTCCTTCCCTCCGGCCCTCAAACTTCTTACCTGCTGCCCCTTCCTTTCTTGGCCTTCTCTATACTGATACCATTTTGTCCTTCCAGTGCCCTCTTCCCTGATGTGGTGAACTGTATGCAGACAGACAACTTGGAATTGAAGAAACTGGTCTATTTGTACTTGATGAACTACGCCAAGAGCCAGCCTGACATGGCCATCATGGCTGTCAACACCTTTGTGAAGGTGCCCAGGGACCGGGTGTGAGGAGGGTTGGGGAGCCCCCGTGGAGCTTCACTCTGTCTCCTACTGCAGGGTCTTGGGGAGACACTCAGACTCCTTCCCAGTCCTGACACCTCCTCTCTCCAGAAAACCAGATGTCGGGGGCCAGAGCCTTATCACATAAAGCCATATCTCATAAAGCCTTGCATGCAACCCACCCAGTTTTGATCCCAGCACTCCATATGGATCCCTGAACCCATTAGGAGTGATCCTGAGCTCAGACCCATGACTTAGTCCTGAGCGCTGCTGGGTGTGACCTCCTCCCCCAGACCCCCAAAAAATCAGAAAACCAGATTCTCCAGACCCTGCTACTTACACATTTGAGGTTGCTTGAAGGCTATGGATAGATCCCCTCATGCCCCAGGGGTACACCTTTGCCCTGTCCTCTGCCAGGGTAGGATTCCACAAGCATCTGCAAGCTTCTGTACCCTTATAGGCAGTCTGCATTTTCTGTGCTCCAGATTGAGTTGTTAGCAAAGTGCTTTTATTTATTTACTTAATTTTGGGTTCAGGGGCCACACCCAGCCATGCTTGGGGCTGTTCCTGGCTCTGTATTCAGGATTGACCCCTGGCAGTGCCTGGGGCACCATATTCGGTGCCAGAGATTCAAACAGGGTGGGCTGCATGCAAAACAAGTATCTTAACCTCTCTACCATCCCTCAGGCCCCATTATGTCCCCATATTACTAGAATTCTAGATCCCAGCCCTGTCTGTGCCGAGACATGTGCACATGAGTTTCTGTGGCCCAGTGGGAAAAAATTGAAGGCTGTGGTCCTGGGTGGACGTAGTTTAGGATTGAGACTCTGCTCTGTGACTGGGTAAATTTCCGATCTACCAGAGAGAGCCTTGGGACTCTCACTTGGAAAATGTGGCTGCTCTCAAGGACTGCTGTGCCCATCAGCAACAAAGCCAGGCCTGGTGCCCTCAACCACTTAACCTTCAGTGGTGTTGGCTGCAGTGGCAGCAGATTCCCCCACAGTCGTCCATGGTTGCTCAGCCTAGCAGGGCTCCAGGCTCCAGGCCCCAGCCAGGGAGAAGCAGAAGCCACAGATGGCGGCACTGCCCCCACCCCAGGCCCATGGTTGGTTCCTCTCAGGACTGTGAGGATCCCAACCCTCTGATCCGGGCCCTGGCTGTGCGGACCATGGGCTGCATCCGTGTGGACAAGATCACCGAGTACCTGTGTGAGCCTCTTCGGAAGTGCCTCAAGGACGAGGACCCCTATGTGCGCAAGACCGCGGCCGTGTGTGTGGCCAAACTCCACGACATCAATGCCCAGCTGGTGGAGGACCAGGGCTTTCTGGACACCTTGAAAGATCTCATCTCTGACTCGAACCCCATGGTAAGTTGCCGCCACCCTAGGGACAAACCCCTCATTCGTCTCGGACATTGACCTGATCCTCTGTTGTATGCATTCTTCACGCTCCTGCTGTTGTACTGTGGGCACTGTCTGTGATGTGAGCTGGACCTGGTTCCCATCTTGGTCCCCCTCTAACAAGCTGCCAGACCTTCCTGAGCGAAACCCCTTCTGCTCTTCAGCAGGGCTCCTAAGTGGTTAAACTGTGACAATTGTGTGACTAGTGTGACCTGGCACACTGGGGAGTCGGGGGCAATTACCCTTCTTCCCCTGGTAGCCTTCTTGCAGAGAAAGAAACTTCATTTGTGAGGTGCTTGTCCCTTTCCCCACGTTGCAAGGAAAGTCACCCTTAAAACAGCAAAGCCCGGAAATCAGGGCATCTGGAAGGTGGCCGGGCGAGAGCTGATCGCCTCTGCCTCTGCCTGGACCGGCGACAGTTCGGAGGGCAGTTCAGCAGAATTTATTTGTTTATTGGGATTTGGGCCACAACTGGCACTGCTCGGGGGCTACTCCTGGCTCTGTGCGCAGGAGTGACTCCTCACGGTTCTTATGCTGCAGGGGTGGCAGGGACCAAATGTGCCTGGGATTTCAACCCAGCTTGTCTGTGTTCAGGGCTTTTGACCTCCTGTTCTCTCTCTTGGGCCCCACCAGGATCTATTTAAAATAAAATGTAGGGGCTCAGAGATAACTCCCTCCCCCCAAAAAATGAGTAAATTTTTTAAAAAATGAAATGCTGCTGGGGTTGGAATAATAGTACAGTAGATAGGGTGATTGCCTTGCACATGGCCAACCTGGGTTCAATCCCTGGAACCCCATGTGGTCCCTGAGCCTGCCAGGAGTAATTCCTGAGTCCAGAGTCAGGAGTAACTGCTGAGCACTCCCAGGTGTGGCTGCCCCGCCCCCAAATAAAAATTAAATGCTACTTTTTAAGCAGGAGCCCGGATTCTGTCTCCAGCACTGCATGGTCTCCTGAGCACCGGCACCAGCTGTGACCTCAGGCAAGGGTTATAAGTCCAAGGGCATGAGCACATGCCTTGCACGCATGAGGCTCTAAATTTTTATCCTTGGACTAGACCTCCCAAGAACTCTCTGAGGGTGACCTTTTTGACACCCTCACCAAAAACCCCCTAAATGACCCAGCTGTTCTCCTCTGCCCTACAGAAACACTGTTCATACTCAGGGACTGAATGGCCAGTGCAGGGACGGCCAGTGTGCCCACCAGAATATTGGTCGGTCAGGGAAAAGTTGGACACTGAAACATTCCAGAACAACTACTCTGGGGAGATGCATTGAGGGCTCAGATTTACCGGCAGGCCCCTGTGTGCTCCAGGCCAGGTCTTCCTAGCAACCCCAAGGGGTTCTGGCAGACTTCTTGCCCTGAGAAGCACAGTTGACCAGCCCCGGAGGTAGATGGAGTGCCAGGTAGATGGGGATGGGGAGACTTTTGGACTAGAGAGTCGTGTTTGTTTTGCTCTTTTCTTTCCTCTAATGGCTGACCCTTTTTTGTTTGTTTTGTTTGTTTGTTTGGGGACCACACCTAGGGGTGTTAAGGGCTTACTCTTGGCTCTATGCTCAAGAATCACTCCTGGCGGGCTCAGGGGACCTTCTGGGTACCACGGATAAACCTGGGTTGGCTGCATGCAACCAAGACTAGCACCCTCTCTGCTGTACTGTCACTTTGGCTCCATGGTCTTTTTTTTTCTTTTCTTTTTGGGTCACACCCAGCGATGCTCAGGGGTTATTCCTGGCTCTGCACTCAGGAATTACTCCTGGTGGTGCTTGGGGGAACCGTATAGAATGCCGGGGATCGAACCCAGGTCGGCCGCATGCAAGGCAAACGCCCTACCCGCTGTACTATGGCTCTGGCCCCTCCATGGTCTTTTTAGACTTTAGACTTTAGTTCAGCTTACAGAGAAACCAGTAGGGTGGATGCTTGGCATGTCTCAGCACTCCACATCTTCCCATTGGGTCCCATGTTCCTTTTATTTACTTTTTGTTCTTGGACCACACGGGTGCGCTCAGGGGTTACTCCTCGCTCTGCATTCAGGAATTATTCCTGATGTGACTTAGGGACCATACGGGATGCCGGGAATTGAACCAGGTCAGCTGTGTGCAAGGCAGCCGCTGTCCTATTACTCCAGCCCTGGTATTTGGCTTCTGACCAGTCAGCATCATCAGCCCCCGACTTGTAAGCGGCAACCCTCCCTCCCTCTCCCCAGCCTCTGCCCCTTCTACCCTCTCTGCCAGGTGGTGGCAAACGCAGTGGCGGCTCTCTCAGAGATTGCCGAGTCTCACCCCAGCAGCAACCTGCTCGACCTGAACCCACAGTCCATCAACAAGCTGCTGACAGCCCTGAACGAGTGTACCGAGTGGGGCCAGATCTTCATCCTGGACTGCCTGGCCAACTACACCCCCAAGGATGATCGCGAGGCGCAGAGGTAAGCGGATTGGCCAGAGCAGGCTGCCGTCCTCCAGCCCTGAGCTAGGCCACAGGCCTCCAAAGAGCCCCCACAGGTCACCTGTCAACACAGGGGAGGCCAGAGCCAGGCTCTCGGGGGTATGCTTTAGGCAGCCCACTAACCGCATACTGGGGGGTGCAGACAGAACGGAAGCTGAACTTGACCTAGGGGCTCTGAGAAAGGCGATGGGCGACAGCAGAGCCCTCGGTCTTTGGGTTTTCATCTATCTGGACTCTGCCAGATGCTTCCCACCGTTAGTTCTGATGGCAGACCCGGCAGATGCAGCCTAGTCCTCTCTTCACAGTAAGGAAGTTCCAGCTTAGAGAGAGGCTTCTCTGACTCTGTCCTCACCACTCTGCTAGCCTGCCCCTTTGACGCCCAGACAGCAAGGGAAGGGAGGGAGCTGACATGAATGATTAACCACATGTCAGGTGCTTTGCCCAGTGCTTCATCTTTTTTATTTTATTTTTTATTTATTTATTTTATTTTATTTATTTATTTGGGTCACACCCAGTGAGGCACAAGGGTTACTCCTGCCTCTGCACTCAGAAATTACTCCTGGAAGTGCTCAGGGGACCATACATATGGGATCCTGGGAATCGAATCCAGGTCAGCCGTGTGCAAAGCCAACGCCCTACCCGCATGTACCCCTAACATCAGTTATGCCCTCAAGTATACCCTCAGCAGCCCTGTGAGGCTGGCATTGTTGTTTTCATTTTCTGGATGAGAAAACTGAGGCTGAGAATGGGTTTAGCATGCTTGGGGTTGGTTAGAAGGAAATAGGACCAGAATCTTGGTTATCTTCATATAGACATCAAGAGCCAGTGATATAGTGCTAGGGTTTAAGCACTTTCTTTGCACGTAACTGATCCAGGTTCAATTCCTGCCACCTTATATGGTTCCCTGAGCCAGGGCCACTCCTGAGCACAGAGCCTGGAGTAAACCTGAGTACCACCAAGTGTGTCCTGAAAATAACAAAAGGCAAAAAGATGTGCTTTTTGTTTCAGGTCTTTTGAATTTGGTTTTGGGTCCCCCCGGAGGGAGAGCCAAACCTGGTGATACTCGGGTTACTCCTGGCTCTGCGCTCAGGGATCACTCCTGGTGGTGCTCAGGGGACCATATGGGATGCCAGGGATTGAACCCGGGTCAGCCACGTGCAAGGCGAGAAGCTTACCCGATACACTCTGACTCTGGCCTCAAGACATACCATCTCGATAAGCCAAAAACAGGATGTTTCCTTCTGTCTCTTTCTCCTGTTTGCTGCCTTGGGTTGAACCCCAGCATCTGCGAGCGTGTCACCCCCAGACTCTCCCACGCCAACTCTGCCGTGGTGCTGTCAGCTGTCAAAGTGCTGATGAAGTTCATGGAGATGCTGTCCAAGGACCTGGACTACTACGGGACACTGCTCAAGAAGCTGGCCCCACCCCTGGTCACTCTGCTCTCGGCCGAGCCTGAGCTGCAGTATGTGGCCCTGCGTAACATCAACCTCATCGTTCAGAAAAGGTACCAGGACAGTGGCAGCCAGGTGGCCTGTGTGGTACGCAGGAAAAGACCAGACTGCTACTTGGGATGGAATCCCAGGGAAACTGACCTGTCTCCGCTCAGGGAGACAGAGGACATCATCCAGGATTTTGTGGCAGGTGGCGGCTTTGTCTCCCCAGGAATACTTGGCATTAGCTCATCCTCAGGCCTAACGCTTTTAGTGTATGCAACTGAGAGGGTATAGCTGATGTTAGGGGGTACATGCTGCTTTACATCCTACAGTGGACAGGATACCTCCCAACCCCACCCCCAAAAGATTATGCAAGCAAGATATCAGTAGAGATGGGATAGAGAAACCCCGGCTTAGCCTTGGCCAGTGTAGTGCTTCTTCAAAATGAATTGTTTTGGGAGCCACACCTAGCTGTGCTCAGCACTTACTCTGGCTCTGTGCTCAGAAGTTACTCCTGGTGTGCTCAGGGGACCTTATGTGATGCCAAGGATCAAATCCCTGTCTGCTGTGTGCAAGGTAGGTGCTCAGTGCACTCTCGCCCCAGCCCCTAGCATGGTGCACCTGAACCATGGACAGTGGACAACTCATGCCTATCTGTGTGGACAGGGGATGGCTCGTACATGCATATGTGTGTGTACATGCATGATTGTGTGAACAGTATGATTCAAGCGTGCATGCATGCCAGTGTATGTGTGTGAATAGTGAATGACTGGTATGAGTGTCTGACAGCTCAAAGAGCCAGAAGCCCAATTTCAGTCCCCAGCACCGCACACTGCTGAGAATAGCCAGAAACAAGATCAAAGCCAGAGCTTGGTGTAGCCCGTTCCCTCCACCCAGGGCCATGACTAGAATAGCCAACACATACCGGGCATCTACTCACTGAAAAACAGCAGTAGCTGGCCCGAGGGGCCCAGGGCAGGCAGGACTCTTAAGGGATGATGAGTGAGGGAGCCCTGTAGCTCTTGTGGTGGAACTCTGTGATTCTGTTCTGCCCTTGTGGCCAGCCGGCTTGCTCAGCAGCTAACTCAGGCATGAGCCTTGCTGTATGAGTGCAGCCCAATTGCCAGGAACAGGGACTCTTGGAGAACAAGGGCTTCCTACCAACATTGTCTCCTCAAAGACACCTTATTGGAGTGTCATTCGGGTTCTCGGGGCCCAGAGATAACAGAGGAATCCAACAATGCGTGAAGGTTTGGGAGATAAGTATGGGAAATCTTTCCAAGGCTGAGACTAGGGCATCACAGCATTTAGTGAGGAGAGGTGACATGGACATCCTTGATAAGTTGGGGGGCTCCGGGTGCTGGGTTTTTTTTAATTAATTTTATTGATTGATTTATTATTGAATCTCCATGAGATGCAGTTACAAAGTTGTTCATGATTGGGTTTCAGTTACACAATGTTCCAACAGTCATCCCTTCACCAGTATATATTTCCTGCCACCAGTGTCCCCAGTTCCCTCCAGCCACCTCTGCACCCCAACCATCCTGGGTGCTGTTCTTAGCCTGCCTAATCTCTGAAGAACAAGATAGCCCCAGGATGGCAAGGGCAGCTGTCAGCCAAGTGGTATCTTCCTTCAGTTCCAGAAAGGTATAGCAGGATAGCGGAGGTGGGGGGTGTCTCCTGGCACCCACCTTTCTGGGGGGTTGATAGTTGATCTGGGGAAGGCCTGTCCCCTCTCATCTAAGAACAATGAGGTGGGCATCCAGGTATGGGGGGCTCAGCGGTAGAGCACTGGACAGCCATGTGTGAGCCCTGGGTTGGATACCGTGGCATTTCTAATTTTTTTTTTAAAGGAACATAAGAAGGAGATGGATGGTGCCTGATGCAGGAGGCGTGGTGACACCTGTGCTCCATTCTCACAGCCCTTTGTGTGGCGAGGATGGAGGCAGGCATCAGTCATGACTCTTGGCAACCGCGTTCCAGAGGATCCGTGTCAGGGACCCCGGCAGCACCCCCACCTTCAGAGATTCACTGGACTGATTGGTTCCTGGGAATCCGCCTGTAGTTGTTCTGATGCTAAAGTTTCTTTTTATTTGATTTATTTTATATTGCTTGTGGGGACCACACCGGGAAGTGCTCAGGGGTCACACAGTGACAGGAATTAAATACAGGGTATCACCCATGCAAAACATGTGCTCTGAGACTTGAGCCACATCCCTGGCTCTGTTTGGTGTTTTTTATTGTTGTTGTTGTTGTTTTGTTTTGTGGTTTGTTTGTTTTTTGTGAGTGTGTGTTGACTGTGCAAGGCAACTATCACTCCAGCCTTTGTGGTGTGGTGTGTGTGTGTGTGTGTGTGTGTGTGTTTTCATTAATTTATTCTCCCTCTTCCCTTTGTCGTGGCCATAGCATGATGCTGACGGGTGGGGAGTGGGGTACACATGTACCTGGTTGTCGTGTCACCCTTAATAGTGCTTCTCACCGGGTTGGATGCCTCACCTGCCTCGTTTCAGTGCTCCCTGGAGGTTGTGCTCCTTCCACTGTGGTGCTTGAGCTTGCGTCCAGAGAATACAACTGGCGGTTGTGTTACTGTGGTGCTTGCAGGGCCATACCACTTCCTGACCAGAGTGCTCACGTGTCCGTCTCAAGTAGTGTGGTCAGAAAGTAAAATGAGGGAATCACAGCACAGCTGCTGGGCACAGAAAGTTAAGCCTTCTGGTCCACACCAGCACACAGCATCATACACTGGATTGATATTCATATTCAATTCATATTCGGTCTTATGTTCGCAAACAGGTGCTCCAAGCCACTGAGGTAGGCCCCAGGCCCCCGGTACTATTGGTTTTTTATTCATTGGTTTAGTGTTGGAGCACAGTTAGTGTTAGGCACAGTTTTCAGGAGGATAGCCTCAGAGCCCCGTGTGTGTCCGACACCTCACACCCACCAGAGTCCCAGTGCCATCGCACCGCCCAGTAAAACCCTCTTATCAGTTTTTCCACCCCTCATCCCCTTTGCCTTCAGCACACACCATAGAATTCACCGAGCTTGGGAGTTCATTGTTTTTCATTGAGATGAATTATCACTGTGGTCAGGAGAAGAGAAACAGATGGGCGCGGGGCAGGCCTGAGGAGCCCACACACAGGCTTCCTCCTCTAGCCGGGCTGGGGGTTGCACAGAGCTCACTCCCTCCCACACCCGGGGAAGCTCTTTTGAGGCTCAGTACCTGGGTTTCTGCCAAGAAGGGGTGGGGAGGGGGGCCCTCCCCGCTTTGCTCTTCTCCTCTACCCTTCTGGGGTGTGCTTGGACACATAGGCCAGTCAGCGGGCCCTCTGCAACAGGCAGTCAAGGCAATGACCATGTGCTGGGTATCCAGCTTATCTCAGGTCCCAGAGGTGGGACAGGGAAGGATGCCTGACTTCCTACTCTTGGGGCCACCCTGTCTCGCCCCCAGGCCAGAGATCCTGAAGCATGAGATGAAGGTCTTCTTTGTGAAGTACAATGACCCCATCTATGTGAAGCTGGAGAAGCTGGACATCATGATCCGTCTGGCCTCGCAGGCCAACATCGCCCAGGTCGGTAGCTGGGGGCACAAGCTTTGGCATTTGGAAGGCGGCTCTTGCAGTGCCAGACTTCACTGCTCATAGTGAAGAGAGTTTAGCATGGGGATCAGGGCTAAACGCTGTGCGACTGGAGGGGGCGGCTCAGTGGGCTAAACACATGTTTTTCATGAGGGGGACCTGTGCCTGATCCCCAGCACTACATGGTCCCTGAGTGTGCTGAGTATGGCCCAAAAGAAAAATAAAATTAAAACATAAACAGTCACTTTGCAAATACTAACTAATAGTTGGGGGATATAGCCCGGCAAGCTACCGAGAGTATCTCGCCTGCACGGCAAAGCCTGGCAAGCTACCCATGATATATGTGTGTGTATGTTTGTATGTATGCATATATGTATGTATATATTTTTGGTGAGTGAACACTGTGACAGTGCTAAGAGGACCACATGCTGTGCTGGGGATTTGGGGCAGATCACCGCCACCCTGACTCTGTCTCTCTGCTTGGCTGCCAGGTGTTGGCAGAACTGAAGGAGTATGCGACAGAGGTAGATGTGGACTTCGTACGCAAGGCTGTGCGAGCCATCGGCCGCTGTGCCATCAAGGTGGAGGTGAGGCTCTGGGACTGCCGTAGGTAAGGGACAGAGAAGGAAAGCTGAACTCAGGAAACCAGTCTGTTCTAACATGACTTACCTGCTGCTAGTAGTCCAGAAAGGTCTCCAGGGTCAGCATGCCAAGGTACCAGGGTTCCTTCTTACTCGTACACTTTTTTGTTAATGTCATACTTGGGCCACACCTGAGTTTCTCAGGACTTACTCCTTGCTCTATACTCCAGGATCACTCCTGGCGGGCTTGGGGGACCATATGGGGTGCTGGGAGTCGAACCTAGGTCAGCCACATGCAAGGGAAGCACCCTGTTCGTTGTACTGTCACTCTGCCACCTCCCAATAATCTCTCAAAATTTTTTTTTAATTTTTATTTTTGTGCTGGGGATCAAATAGATCTAGGTCTCATGAATGCAAGGCTTGCGCTTTACTGTTCAGTCATATCCCTGATCCTTAGCAGCCAGCAATCAAGTCACTACAGATAAAATTCACCCAGCAGGGCCCAAAGAATGGCTCAGTGGCTTAAAGCACTTGCTGGCGAGTCCACGGTCATGAGTCCAAACCCCATGATCAGCACAGACCACTGTTTGATGCCTGGAGGCTCCCTGGTGGACTTGGGGGGGGGGGGGGGCTGTGGTTCAGTAGGGAGCACTTGCCTCATATGTGAGGTCCTGGGTTTTATCCCCGGCACCAAGCACACACACATAAAATGGTTCTGTGGCTTGAAGCACCTGCCTGGCAAGGGCAGAGCCATGAGTTCAAACCCCAGTGCCACCCACAGGCATCTAGGCAGTCCTCCTTCTGCAACATTAACCAAAAAAGTGGGCAGTCCCAAGAGGGTGGCGACCTCAGCAGACTTAGTTTTCACTGCAAGGAGTTCTGGCCCAGGGGCTCTGCTCTTTTTGGCCAGGCCACTTGGTTCTGTTGTATGTGCCTCTTTCCAAGGTTCCCACCCTCCAGACCCCGCATCCCGGCATTTTCTCCCTCTACTCTGCCCATGGAGATGTTGCTTAGTCAAATGAGCTCGATTCTGTTTAAATGGGCTGACTGGGGGTGTGCAGATCCTGGGACAGCTGAGCCCCTGATTCAGCCCCTTGGCCCTGGCAGTGGCCCCCACAACAGGCCTGCCCATCGGGACCTGGCACGGGGGTGGGTATTTTTGGTTCCCAGGAGCCAATTTGGTAAAAGAAGTAGAGGAGTGCAGGAGCTGGCAACCCATATGGTATCCTGAGCATCACCAGGTTTGACCCAAAAAGCCCAAAAAAAAAAATAGGAGTAGAGGAGAGGAAGGTTCAGACTTTCTGCCCGAAGTAGGGTGACCCCCCCATGCCCGGTGTTCTCATGTGCTGCCTCCGAACTTCTCCATCTCCTTCGCTTCCCTGGGGCCCTGCCCTCCAGGGGGAGGGCTCTCTCTCCCTGTGTGTGGGTATGATCAAGACACTGCTGCCAGTGCCTTGGCAGGGGGCACAGCGCCTCAGCCACCTGCTCCTCTTCCCACACAGCAATCTGCAGAGCGCTGCGTGAGCACGCTGCTGGACCTTATCCAGACCAAGGTCAACTACGTGGTCCAGGAAGCCATTGTGGTCATCAAGGACATCTTCCGCAAGTACCCAAATAAGTATGTGCCAGCCCCTCGGCACACCCTTCCGTCTCTGCCACCGTTCGCGTCCTAGAGAAACCCCTGGGCTGCCCTCACCCTCTCCTTACGCTAAATAACAGAAACGGCGCTTCCCCATCCTCTGTTCTTTCCTACCGTCCCATGGGCTGCTCTTGGTTTCTCTTGCCCCCCTCCCCACGCCCCACCAGGCCCCTTCGGGCCTCACCAGCCAGCTGTGCCCTGGTCCCCAGGTATGAGAGCGTGATCGCCACCCTGTGTGAGAACCTGGACTCCCTAGACGAGCCCGAGGCCCGGGCGGCCATGATCTGGATCGTGGGCGAGTACGCGGAGCGCATCGACAATGCGGATGAGCTGCTGGAGAGCTTCCTCGAGGGCTTCCATGATGAGAGCACCCAGGTGAGCCGCAGGCGGGCCTGAGATCACCCGGGTGAGCCACGAGCGGGCCTGAGATCACCCAGGTGAGCCACGAGCGGGCCTGAGATCACCCAGGTGAGCCGAGTGGGCAGGAAACTGGCAGCTTGATACCCCTGCCATCTGTCCTGGAAGTTCCTCCTGGGCCAGCAGGTCTGCGGGTGGACCTCTGGCCCATTTCCTCTTGGGCTGCAGTAGCTGAGAGGAGTGAGGCCACTTGGCTGTGTGTGAGCAGCCAACAGTCAAAGGTGTACCGCTTTGGGGACCAGAGAGATAGCACCAGAGATAAGGCCCGGCCTCGCATGTGGCCAGGACCCTGATTGGATCCCCGGCACCCCATAGGATCCCCTGAGCACCACCTGGGGTCACTCCTGAAGGCGGCAGGGTGTGGCCCCAGCCCGACAGCTCCCTCTCCTGCCCCAAAGAAAGCTTCCCACTCTCTTTCATACTTACCTTTGAGTACTTGATACTGACTTAGTTCAAAATGAAAAGATGAAAGAAGACAGAGGGAAAAGTCTCCCTCTCGCTGCGTTCCTAGATCTCATTACTTGCCAGTTTCATGGGAAAGCTCCAGAGACAGTTTACATTTTGTTTATTGTGGACTATTCTTTTTTTCTTTTTGGAGTGGGGGAGAGGGTTGGCCCACACTCAGCGATGCTCAGGGCTTACTCCTAGCTCTGTGCTCAGGGATCACTCCTGGTGAGGCTCAGGGGACCACATGGGATGTGGGGAGCAAATCCGAGTCGGCCTTATGCAAGGCAAGAACCCTCCCGGCTGCATTGTGGCCCCCGCTGTGGTGGGGGGGAGGGGATGGACATGTTCTTAGACGTAGAATGCTTGAATGAAAGGCCTGTGCCTGGGCGCTGGAGTCGCTGTGCAGATACCTTGATGTAGAGAGGGCTCTGGCTTACAGTCCTGTCTCAGACATGAATGGACCTTACTCATCACCATCCCTAGTTTTGCCTCCAGCTTTATTCTTTCCTTCTCTATTCGGGTTTGAAAGAACTGATCTGGGCAGGAAAAGGACACTGAGCTCCGACACCAGGGGACACAGCTCTCTCCAGCACCCCCGGGCTGTGACTGTCCCTTTCCGTTACTGCGGCCCACAGGGGTCAACAGATAAGGGCTATCCCTGACAGCACAGTGACTGGGCGGCCGCCAGCTTCCATAGTTCCAGCAACAGTCCAGGCCCCTTGGTGTGATCCTGGATCTGTAGCTCCCATGGGCCAGTCCAGTGCCCATCTGGTGTTGGGGTTCTTGAGGGAGGCGGCGCGCAGGGAGATTCTGAGGGAAGCCAGCATTTGTGTTCACGGGAGCTTGCAGGGATGCCGGGTGGGCAGAAACAGCAGATGTCTGTCAGAGTCATAGTAACAATTGCCACCAGCACCCACTTCCAGCCACTGCCTGCCAAGCCCGCCCGCCGCGGGGCTGTCTCCCTTCTCGCCTTCCCCGCCTCTTCCCTGGTCTGGGCAGCAGAGCCGAGGGCGACCTGGCCTGCCCCAGCCACCCAGTGGTGCCCGGGATTCCTGCCACGACGAGCCTTCCCGAGTGTTCTAGTGAATCTTTCCAGTCTCTCCGCTCGCCACACGGCCTGCTGAGGAGCCAGTTAGAGGAGTTGGCGGAGGGAGAGAGCCGAGCAGGAACCTGGGGAGGGGACCAAAGAGGGGCTGCAGTGCTGGGCAGGCTCGTCCCCGCCGCCATAGCTGGGTGGCTGTGGGGTTTTTAGTGGCCTGTTCCTTTGGCCTCCGGGTTCACGGCACAGTTCAGCACTCCCTAAAGAAGACAACGCTTTGCATGGGGACTTGTCTGGGTGTTTCTTTGCACCTTCCCTCATTCTAGGCCTCTGGGACTCTTGGCAAGGGTGCTGGAGAGCTAGCTTAGGGCATGCTCTGCGTGCAGGAGGCCAGGGTTCGGTTCCTAGCGCTGCATCATTACTTGAGCACTGCAAGAGTGCCGTGCCCCCAGAGCAAGACCAGGAGTGGCTTCCAACACTGGAAATCTGTTTGTTTTTATAAGGTATTTACAATAGAATGTTCAGGCATAAACATGCTAATCCCACTCCCTCCCCCAGTGTCAGCTTCTCTCTACCAGTTGCATTGTGCCTCCCCCCCCACTCCTGCCTCTGTCCTATCCCCTCCCAGCCCCCCTCCACACACACACACCCAGCGGTGATATGCTTCCTACTAAAGGCCAGGTAATTAAAAATCCCAAGGTTTTGTCTAGGTGATCCATCAGGAAGTTACAGAGCCTAAGTGATCATTATATGAGGTCCGTCTCCCGGAAATGAGCGGCCTCTCGGCCAGCACCACCTCCTTGGTAGCAAGGAGGGCGCTAGCCCCGGGTCCAAGGAAGCCACCATAAACTTTTTATCTTCTAACCCCCTTAAGAACACCCTGGGGCCAAGGCCATACATAGCTCAGTGGTGGAGCGCATGCTTCCCGTCTCCATCCCTGACATCAAAAAAGACAGAGCCAGGGAAATAGCTCAAAGGGTTAGCGTGCATACTTTATATGTGGCTACCTCAGTTTCATTCCCACTAATGCCAGGAGCAAACCCAGAGCAGTGAGTTGGGTGTGGCCCCCAAAAAAGTCACAGCATCTGCCCTAGTAAGGGGAAGCCACATCTCTCCCTGCTTCTCGGTCCCCAAACCAGGGCCACAGCCAGTTCTGCAAGCCGGGCTCCAGCTGACTCCTTTCTGCCTTGGAGGCTGCCCCAGGCTGGCCACATCCCCCCCTTCCTCTGTCCTACCTCTGGCCTCAAACCACCCTGCGTGCCAGGGTCATTAAGACACTCAATTCAGTAAGACCCTCCCCTGCTTTCACAGACCAGGCCCTGGCACAGGATCTGAGACCACCTTGTACTGGATCAGAGAGGGCAAAGAGGGGAAGGTGCTTGCCTGGCACAGGGCCAACTTGAGTTCAGTCCCCAGTATCAAATACATTTCCCTCTGCCCCATCAGGGGCAACCCCTGAGCATCACCAGATGTGACCCAGAAACAAAGAGAAGAAAACTGGGTACCTTGACCCAGTGTCAGCAGGAAGGAGAGGTGGCTTGGGAAGGACCGTGCAGAGACTTGTCTTTGCAGAGAGTGTTTCCCATCAGCCACTGCTCCTTCAGCATTTGCTCTGCTTCGTGCCTGAGACTGCAGAGGAGCAAGGTGGCCACGGTGACAGGCACTGACCCTGGGCCTCAGGGATGCTCTCCCCACGAGAACCTAGCCGCTGGGAAGCATGGAGGCATGTCTAATCCTTTGAGGGCAGCAACAATCATGGGGTACAGGAACGCTGATGAAGTTTGTAGATCGCTGACTCACAAGCCATGAGGCAAGACGGTTCAGACCCAGCTAAAGGCAACAGCAGCGTAAGAGACTACCAGGCCACAGGCCGGCTCTGTGGGCCCTGCTGGGCCTCCCTGGTACCATCTCTGCCTCTTGACAGGTTTCCTTTTAAGATGCCTACCAGGGTGGCAGAGCAGTAGTATAGTGGGTAGGGCATTTTCTTTGCACGCAGCCGACCCGGCTTCAATCCCCGGGATCCCAAACAGCCGACCCAGCTATGATCCCCACCATCGCACGTGGCCCTCTGAACCCTGCCAGGAATGATCCTTTAGTGCAGAGCCAGGAGTGAGCCCTGAGCAAGCCGGGTGTGCCTACCGGGGTGGAAAAAAAGCCTTCCGACTACACGTGTCACCTTTAAAAGCCCTGAGCAAATTGTTACCAGACTGGTGCCCTGAGGTTTCCATGACCCTAGAGCAGGACACCTGCCAAATGATGCCAGCTTGAATTGGCGCTGAGGAGGCTGGGGCTGCTCTGCCGCACAGCACCCCCTGCTGGCCAGGGCATATGATCACAGCCCACCCCAAACCCAAGAAAGCTGTTCTTGCTTTCCTGGGCCCTTGATTGCACCCTTTTTCCTCTTTGAGAAATTTCGTTTTATTTCCTTTCTTATTATGGGGGTGGGGCTGGAGAGATAGCACAGCGGGTTGGGCGTTTACCTTGCACACCGCCGACACAGATTCGATTCCTCTGCCCCTCTCGGAGAGCCCGGCAAGCTACCAAGAGTATTTTGCTCGCACAGCAAAGTCTGGCAAGCTACCCATGACATATTTGATATGCCAAAAACAGTAACAAGTCTCACAATTTGTTGTGAGACGTTACTGGTGCCTGCTCAAGCAAACCAATGAACAACGGGAGGACAGTGCTATAGTGCTATTATGGGGGTGGGAGATACACCCAGTGATGCTTTAAGAACAATTCCTGGCTCTGTGCTCAGGAGTGACCCCTGTAGATCTGAGGATTCAAGCCAGGATTAAGCGCATGCAAGGCAAGCACCTTACCTCCTGTGCTGTCTCTGGCCCTGGTTTCCTTCTCTCCACCCACGAAACCCTAGACTCTTGTCACCTTGTCCCCACAGGTCCAGCTGCAGCTGCTGACCGCCATTGTGAAGCTCTTTCTGAAAAAGCCCACCGAGACCCAGGAGCTCGTGCAGCAGGTCCTCAGCCTGGCCACGCAGGTGGGTACCCCGGCTCCCCACTGTGCCCAACAGGGGGTTTTTGGGTCCAGGGAGCCAGACCTGGTCCGTCCCTGAGACACTGGTGGGTGTATGGCCCCCACGAAGTCCCAGATCCCCGCTCAGGGAGCGTGGCTGCAGATCAGAGATGGAATGACATCCATTGAGTTCTTGAGAGAAGCAGAGGGTCGGCGAGGAAGCAGGGGCAGAGAGTCGGGATGGAGTGCTCCCAGCTGTGCTCGGGATGCTGCCAGCGGCCCTGGGCACACCCTTGCATCATGAGCTTCCCTTCCCCTCTGACTTTCCTACCCCCCCCCCCCCAAGGACTCAGACAACCCCGACTTGCGGGACCGAGGCTACATCTACTGGCGTCTGCTTTCCACGGACCCGGTGGCCGCCAAGGAGGTGGTGTTGGCCGAGAAGCCACTCATCTCTGAGGAGACGGACCTCATCGAGCCCACACTGCTGGACGAGCTCATCTGCTACATCGGCACCCTGGCGTCCGTTTACCACAAGCCCCCCAGCGCCTTTGTGGAGGGGGGCCGGGGGGCTGTGCACAAGAGCCTGCCCCCCCGCACAGCCTCGTGAGTGAAGTGGGCGGGCATGGGGCTCAGTCTCCCCTAATCAACACACACACACACACACACACACACACACCAGCTCTCACACACACTCTTACATATACTCCATAGCATGTACACACAGTGGAACTCAGCCTACTGTCCCTGACACACACAACCTCTCACACACTCACATTCTCATACATACACTCACACAGTTCCACTCACAGTCACACAGTTCCACTCACAGTCTCACACCCACTCTCACACACACTTATACTCTCACATATACACACTCATTCTCAGACCCTCATACATACCCACACACTCTCTCTCTCTCACACACACACACACCTACATACACATGCACAGTCACTCCTACATACTCATAAGTCGCATGCACACATATACTCACTCTCATACTCTTACTCATGCATACACACTCACACACACATACTCTTCATATCCTCAGACCCATTCACTCTCTCACACTCTCCGTGGGTGCCCAGGCTTTCGGGCCCATGTGCCCATGTGCCCTTGGCAGGTCTCACCCCTCCCACTGATTGCACACTGCAGCTGGCGGCACCTGATGAGGCGACCTCTTTGGTCCTTCCTCCAGTGCTGAGAGATGGTGTCCCCATTTCCAGACAAGGACAGTGGGCACAGAGAATGCCACTGCCCCAGACTGGGCTCTGCCCACAGCCCTGTCTATCATGGTCATTGGTGTCTTCCCCCCCCCCCCACCCCGAGGTTTGCCCAGCCAAGGAGACCAGCCACTGGGACCGGCAGGGGCCGAGGGGTGGAGAGGACCAGCTGTGAGGATGCAGGAAAGTCGGGCAGAGGAAAAGGGCACATGGACAACAGTGGGGTGAACCCCATTCCCCTCCCGGAGGGGGACTCTGGACACCCCTCTCTGTGGCAGGCCTGCCCCCACTCTGCTGACCTCATGCTCTTGGGTCCCTGCAGGAACGAGAGCGCCGAGAGCCCCGAGACAGCGCCCACTGGAGCACCCCCTGGCGAGCAGCCGGACATTATCCCCACGCAGGGTGACCTGCTGGGCGACCTCCTCAACCTGGACCTTGGGCCCCCCGTCAGCGGTCCGCCCCTGGCCACCTCTTCCGTGCAGATGGGGGCTGTGGACCTGCTTGGTGGTGGCCTCGACAGTCTGGTACGTCTCGGCTCCTGCCCTGCTCCCGCAGGCCTTCAGCAACCATCTTCAGAACAGACCCTCGCTTTGTGCCAAGCCCCAGCCAAGGCCCTTAGCTGCCGTTGTCTGAAGGGGGTCACGTAGCTCCCTGCTTGTCACTGAGAAAATAGAGCCTTGGAGAGGCCCTGGGACCTGCTTCCCGGGGCGCAGCTGCCGAAACTTCACCTGGCCCCAATCTGTGGGCCCGGCTCTTGGCCCCTATCTACCCTGTTAGTCACCTTGACCCTGTAAGCGAAGCCAGACTTGGGCCAGCCAGAGGCAGCATGCCAAGCCAGGAGGCCATGGGAGTTCAGGGACGGTCCTTGTCCCCTGTAGAAGAGGGTGGTGACACTGGCATTGGGGCTTCTTGGGCTACTTCCGTCAGCAGGTAGAGCCCGTCGCTTGGTCTGACTCAGGCTCATCAGGTGCAGCCCGGGCAGGCAGTGACGCCTGGGGCAGGGTGGGCCGGGCTGTGGCAGGGGTCATAGAGGGGTGTGAAGTCGGGGTTCTTGTCTTCATTGGGCCCCCAACTCGTGGATACAGCAGCACTGACTGATCTTTTCCTCTTTCCTCCCTCTCTTTCTCTCTCTCTCCCCCCGCCCCTTCTCCTGGCCTTTCTCTGCATGCGGCTGCCTGTTCTCTCCACCCCACCTGCTTCTGCTTGGAGATGGGGGATGATCCTGAAGGGGTACGGTTCAGCCCTGTGTCACCGAGCCTTCGTTCCTGCTCCTGGGAGCACGGGCCCGGCAGCCTAGGGTCAGACAAGCTCATGCGTCCCCACTCGGCCGGGGCTAGCTGCCCCAGACCCCCTGTCCTCACTGCCTCCCGACAGAGTGACCTAGCCTGCTCACGGCCCCTCTCAGACATCCTGGGTGCACCTTCGCTCCTCATAGCACCTTTTGACCATGGGCCAGTCAGTGTCCCCAGCCTGTTCCCAGAGGTCGCCATACGGCTCGCGTGGCGTGGGGCAGAGAGGGGTGCGTCCTTCTCCACTCACCTCACTCTTGTTTCTACAACTTAGAGGGGATGTGCCAGCAGTTCCGTAGCACCCCTGCCCCATTTCTGCTTGTCTCGGGTCCCAACGTCCAAGGCCAGCCTCTAACCTCTCTCTCTTCCTTGCCAGATTGGGGGTCCTAACTTTGCGACACCCCCAGCAACAGCAGTACCAGCCAACCTGGGTGCACCCATGGGCAGTGGCCTGAGTGACCTCTTTGACCTGACTAGTGGCGTGGGCACCCTGTCAGGATCTTACGTGGCCCCCAAAACAGTAAGTATCACCTGGGTTTCGTGGGCACAGCTCCCAGAGACCAGGTCATGTGAACCTGGTGGGGAGCATCCCGGAGGAGGGTCGTTGCAGTTCCAGACATATTAGCCAGGAGGCTCCAGGCAGCCTGCCCTGGTGAGCCCCTCAGCCCTCAAGCTCAGGACTCAGTGCCCCATCCCACAAGACACTGTCGTGAAGACCTATCTGTCCCGATCCAAACACAGGAAGGCAGGGACCCAGCTGGTTCTGACAACACTGGACATTAAGGCAGGCCCACAGAGGGTTCCCAGCTGCTCCAGGGCTCCACAGGGGCCGTGAGCTGAGGCTTTGGCGCCAGCAGTCTGAAATGGGTTCTAGTGGCTTGCCAGTGTTATGAGTGATCGCAAATGGAAGCACTCATTCCTCAGCCTCCTCATCGGCTGGAGGAAGAATCCCTGCGACCTCGGCACTACCTTTCCCTGAGCTCGGAGCCCACTCTTCCTTCCGGAGCCGTCAGCTCAGCAGCTGCATCTTCCTGGCAGCCCTTTCGAGGCCTGGGCTCCCTCCCCACCTGTGGGGATGAGTAATTGTCCAGGCGTCATGGCACAGGGAGGATGACGTGCTCTGTATACGAGAGCTCGGAGCTCTGGGGCCAGCAGGGGAATCACAGTGCCTGGTTTCCTCCAGAGAATGCTGAGGGTCCATGCTAGACCCCATGAACCACAGGGGCACCACCGGGACCAAGAGAGACCGAGCAGTCAAGGCAGGGTGACAGAGCACAGAGAGGGCCTGGGCAAGGGGCCTCCTGCAGGGCAGATACACCCAGCCCTCCGAGGGCCAGAGCCCAGTGACTGCCCCCACAATCACTCCAGAGAAGCACAGATGGCCGGCACTAGCTGGATCACATGAGGCTGGCTGGGAAGAGGGCACTGCAGGTGTTAAGGATCAGTTCTGCTTTGTTTCGGTTTTGTTCTGGGGACACACCTGGCAGTGGTCAGGGATCACCATATGTCGTGCTGGGAATTGAATCCAGGTCAGCTGCGTGCAAGGCATGAGCCCAACACGCTGTACTATCTTTCTAGCCTTCCTTATTTTTTAAAAGGACTTTGGGGCAACACTCAGCAGGGGCTTAGGGGCTCCTGGCAGTGCTCAGGGACTGGGACACACATGATATTGGGGATCGAACCAGGGTTAGCCACATGCAAAACCACAACCTTCGACCCTGGTACTATCTGTGACCCAAGATTTGCATTTTTTATTTCAAACTTTTATTTTTATTTCTCTTCACTATTTTGAGGGCCACACCTGGTGGTACTTGGGGGACATGTGCTACCAGGGATCAAAGCAGGGCCGCACACATGCCAGGCGTGTGCTCTGTCACTTAAGCCACATCCCTGGCCCGAACTTTCTTTTCTTTGTTTGATTTTGGGCCATACTCAGTGTTTCTCTTGGGGGTCACTCCCAGTCATGCTCAGGGGACCGTGCAGTGCTGTGATGAGACCTTGACCTGCATGCAGAGGCTGTGCTTCAGCCTTTTGGGGTATCTCTCAGGTCCCACACTTGTGTTTTATTTGCTTATTTTGTCTTGGGGGCCAGTTTTCACTATGCTCAGGGCTTAGTCCTGGCGCTGCGCTCAGGGCTCACTCCCAGAGGGCCTCTGGGGACCACGTGGTGCTGGGGCTGAAACCAGGGTCAGCAGCACTCCGTGTACAAACCCTAGCCCCTGCACTGTCTCTCTGTGCACCCCCCTCAGATTTGAATTTTCAAAGATGATTTTCACTCCTGTGAAAATGGAGCATTAGAATTGGGGCGGCCATGCAGGTGACTGACATCACCTTGTATTCTTATAGGGGCCATACCCATAAGTGATGCTCCCCACAGGCATTGTGGAACTGAGGCTCAGTTCCAGCGGTGCTCTGGCCACCAGGACCACATCTGGTACAGCATGTGGTACTAGGAGCAAACTCAGAGCCCCCCTGTTGCCAGGCCTGTACTCTGCCACTTAAGTATCACCTGTCCCTTATCTGTGAGCTCAGAAGGCAACATTGGCAGGTGGTGGTTGTGGAGAGATGAGAAAGGTGCCAAAGGTGGCCGGAAGAGGAGGCCATTGACAGGATCTGGGCTGAGTCATGGGACTCAGCTGAACACTGCTGAGTCAGTGAAGAGCACCTTGGGGGGTACACAGCAGGCAGGGCGCTGAGCTTCGCCCTCAGGTGGCCCCTGAGCTGCCCGTGTAGGAATCCCAGCCTTAGAGATGTTTTGCGTGTCCACAGGATGATGCCCAGAGATGTCCGACAGGGGCAGGGCTTTCCTGCCCAGGCAGCACTCCCTCAGTACCATTCCTCCACCTGCTGCTGGGCCCAAGGATGCAGAGAGCGAAGCAGAGATTGGCATATGAGCTCCCTCCTCTGTCGTCGCAGCCCCGAGGCCACGCCTAGGGAAGGAGTCTGCGTGCGTTTCCCCGAGGCTGCAGCTCTTGAGCTGAGACTCAGACAACAAGGGCAGCCAAGCAGCCAAGGGCTGCCAGGCGAGGTCCCCTTAGGTGGTGTCCTTGGCCAGGCCAGTCGGGACAGTCCCAGGCCAGCCCATTCCTTCCGCCGGCCAGAACATACCGTGACAGCCTCCAGCTTGGGCTGAGGCCCAAGAAGCCCCGGCCTCCCCTGGCTCCCCTTCTTGGGCCCTTGAAGACTTGGGTCAGCCAGTGGCCACTTCTGCAGGCAGGTCTCTGTGCCCGTTGTCCCCATCTGTAGCCACGGTCCCAAGGGACCCTGCAGGAACCTCCTCTGCCCTGGCCTGGATGGGCCTGGGAGTCCCGTGCCTGAGAGTGAAGGAGAAGCAGGAGTCACCCTACTCCTCTGCCCTCTCCCCTGCAGGTGTGGCTCCCGGCCATGAAGGCCAAGGGCCTGGAAATCTCGGGCACCTTCACCCGCCAGGGGGGCACCATCTCCATGGACCTGCAGCTGACCAACAAGGCCCTGCAGGTCATGACCGACTTTGCCATCCAGTTCAACCGCAACAGGTGAGCGAGACTGGGCAACCCCGTACTGCAAGCCCGGGCCGCACGTCCCACCCCCCTCCCCTGTGGGCTGCAGCGGGCCAGGGTCGGGGGATCATGCCCCATATTATCTGTCCCCTTCACTACCCTTCGGAGGATGTTTCCCACCAAACCCCCAGCTCCAGTGGCTGCACTGGGCTCCTTCCTCAAAGTACTTGGGTCACAAGGTCCATCTGCCTCTGCCCCCACCTGTGGCTCTGCATGGAGCAGACGAGGACTCTCAGGGGACCCCCGCAGCCCTTCCTGATGATTCTTCTTCCTGAGTGGCTCCAGTGATGAGCAAACTGAGCCTCTAAGAAGTTGACTGAAGGGGCTGCTTCCCCAGGGAGACCCTGTGGGCCCGGGGCGCCACTTACCAGCCTCTCAGTGGAATTCGGTCCTCAAGGGAAGGACAGGATTCAGCAGGCCACTGCAGGCCGAGACCATGGGGCCAGGGGCCTGTCCTGGGAGCTGGGCCGGGCCCGTGTGCCGGAATGTCTCCAGCTACGCGCTTGCCCAGCTGTCCTGCTCTCCCCGCCCTCCCCGCGGGCCTTTTCTCTCCCCAGCTTTGGCCTGGCCCCCGCCGCCCCCCTGCAGGTCCACGCACCGCTCAGCCCCAACCAGACCGTGGAGATCTCCTTGCCGCTCAACACGGTGGGCTCGGTCATGAAGATGGAGCCTCTCAACAACCTCCAGGTGTGCCCCAGCCTGGCTGCTGCACCAGCAGGACCCTGGAGGGCTTAGGGAGGGTGCAGGAAGCAGACCCCCCCCCCTTGGAGGGATCCCAACAGTGACCCGGGGCCGGCCCCCTCCTCCCCAGGTGGCAGTGAAGAACAACATCGACGTGTTCTACTTCAGCACGTTGTACCCGCTACACATCGTCTTTGTGGAAGACGGAAAGATGGGTGAGTTGAGGCTCCGAGCCTCCCGGCCGGCTTCCAGGCTACCCACCTGTGACCTGCATGTCCCAGCCCTGCGGAGCCCCAGCTGGCCAGGCAGAGTGGCTGTGTGCCCTGGAGCCTGCCCTCAGCCTTGCCGCAGCCTCCAGGGGTGTGGGGGTGACAGCAAGCTTGATCCCCAACTCCCCCCACCCCAGGACAGTGTTGGGGCTGCCTCCTCCTCCCTCTCCCCAAAGCTCTGTGACTCTGACATCCGAGTGGTGGGGCAAGGGATATTGTGGGTGCTTCGGGGAGGGTCGGGCCAGGGCTTTGGATCCAGCACTGATGGCTGCAGTGGTTTTTATTTTTTTATTTATTTATTTTTTTGGCTTGTGGGCCACAACCAGTGATGCTCAGGGGTTACTCCTGGCTCTGTATTCAGCAGTCAGTCCTGGAGGTGCTCAGGGAACTATGTGGGTTGCCGGGGACGGAACCCGGGTCTGCCATGTGCAGGGCAAGTGCCTTACCCACTCCGGCCCCTATTGGTGGCCACCTTTGCTGTGGCAAGCAGGACAGGCATTGGCAGCTCCGGTCTGTCCTCAGCATCAGGGGGCTCCCTCGCCCCCAGGCCCAGGCCCTCGGTTCATCTGGGCCCCGTCCTGCTCCCCTCCAGAACGGCAGCTGTTCCTGGCCACGTGGAAGGACATTCCCAATGAGAACGAAGCCCAGTTCCAGATCAGAGACTGCCCCCTCAATGCGGGTGAGGACCCCCTCAGCCACCCCCACCCGGCCACGCTGCCCCTCACCTGCCCCCGCGCCCCTGACCGGAGGCCTCCCACCCCCCACAGACGCCGTGAGCAGTAGACTGCAGGGCAGCAACATCTTCACGGTGGCCAAGCGGAACGTGGAGGGCCAGGACATGCTCTACCAGTCCCTGAAGCTCACCAACGGCATCTGGGTGCTGGCAGAGCTGCGCATCCAGCCCGGGAACCCCAACCTCACGGTGAGGGCCCCCGCCCGCCTCCCCGCATGCAGGTGCACAGCAGGGTGCTTTCTCGGGACGGACCCCGCCCTCGGTCCCAGCGAGCCTCCCCGAGCAGACCCCCAAACTGGCTCTCAGGACGGTGCTGGGACGAGAATATTCCATCTCCCCGGGCCTGGGAGATCGCCGACTCCCAGCAGCCCAGCCCCCCACCCCCACGCCCGCCTGAGTCCCACCCAGTCGCATGCCTTTCTGCTATCATGCCAGCCCCCGAGGGAGCCCCAGGCTTGGCTGCGCCCCTGCTCCTGTCTCGGGCAGGCCTGGGCCTGCAGGCAGAGCTGGTGTGCGGGGGGCTCGGGCCGGGGAGCTGCGGTGGTGGTAATTTCCATCTCCCTGTTCGGTTGCTGCATGTCCGCCTTCCCCGCTGGTGCCCGCGGTGCAGGACTTGGAGGTTAGCAGACTGCTTTTTTCCCTCTCCGACCCCTCAGCCAGCCCTTGCTCCGCCCACCCCCATTCCCTGGCCTCACACCACTGCAGCCCAGAGCTAGGCAGAAGCACACGCAGCCTGCAGACAGGAGGGTCAGCAGACCCTCAGAGGCTACCACGAACCTCAGTGACCAGGAGCTGCTGCCCCCACTTCTCCCCAACGGGCGCAGACCCCCCCCAAGGAGCCCAGGGGCCCCCTCTTGAGACTTGGGCAGAGGGTGGTGGCACAGTCACTGGGGCCAGCCACACACAGACTGTGGCGAGTCCCCGTGTGCGGGAGACGGGAAGGAGCCCTCAGCGCCCTCACCATTGGCCCCCCGTGGGTTGGGGTACCCTCCCCCCGGCATGCTCCTGGGTTCCAGCTGGTGAATCACACAGCTTGTCACAGGCCCCGAGCAGCCGACAGCAGGTGTGTGGGTTGCGAGTGTGTGCGGTTCCCCCGGCTGGCTGCAGCGCCCGCCCCCGCTGCCTCCCGCACATCTGCCTGGGCTAGTCAGCGACAGCCCCGGCGCAGCACCCTGAAATCAGCCTGTCCCCCTCCTCTCCCGCTGCAGCTCTCCCTCAAGTGCCGGGCGCCGGAGGTGTCCCAGCAAGTGTTCCAGACCTATGAGACCATCCTCAAGAACTGACGCCCCGGCCTGCACCCCGCCCCACTCCTGCCCACACCGCGGGGCGCCCCTGGGAAGTGGCGGCTGCCCCCTCCTGGCATCCTGGGGGCCCCTGGACCTCACAGCCAGGCCTGCCTGGATCCTCGGGGCGTGGCAGCCCCCCTGCTCGGGCCCCCCCTCTGCCATCGCTGCTGATGTTTAGGGTCAGGGAGGGGACCGAGGAGCCAAAGCCAGAGCAGCAGCTACTGGACACTGGACCAAGTGGTCCCGGGCGTTTTGCTTTCCCGGCGCCCTCAGGCCTCCGTCCGGGAAAACCCCACGCCTCGCCCCTTGGGTTGGTGTCAGTTCCCCCCAGTGCCACAGCACCTGCCAGGGTGTCCCATGTGTCACAGGTCCCACATCTCTGGAGCTGCATCATCAGCCTCATGCCCCATGCCCCACCTCCCCTGCTGCATCCACGGGAGGGGGGGTGGTCTCTGCCCTGGGAGGCGCCAGCCCATAGTCTGGAGAGCTGGCGGGAGTTCCCCAGCCCTGGCCGTGGCCCCCCTCACACACCCACCCCAGTCCCTCTGGCAGGACTCTCCCCAGAGAATCCCCTGGGCTGTAGGAGGAAACGGGGTGTCTCCATGGTCCGCTGCCCTTCTCTCGGGCCCCTGTTTCATTTGTGTCTGACAGAGCATTAGGTTTTCCTGTTACTGCTGTTTAATAATAAAGATTCTGCTTTTGGCAATCACGGACACTTTTTTCCCTTCCACCAAATGTCAGCATTAAGAAGTGCCCCTGGGGCCTGCGGGTGGCTCTTCCTGCAGTAACAATCTCATATATATAAGCAGAGACTCTATATTGTATGTTTACTCTTATTTTCAGAGAGAGATCGTGAATAAAAATGATGGTTTCAAGCGTGTCAGGTCCTGAGGCTCTTCTGGGCTGGGCCCTGGTCCCCACCGCCGTCCCCCACCCCACCCCACCCCACCCCGGTGCTGCACCCTGAGACACACCTTGTCCTTCCCTCCCTCCCTCCCTGCACTTCCACCCCTGTCTGTGTCTGTCTGGCTGCTGATGGGTGCTAAGGACTCTATGTGACCCCCCAACCTGGCACTGATTTGGCACGGGGTGGGGGAACCAGAGCTGCCAGGGGGTTCTTGGTGCCTGTTGGCTGTGGCAGGGGGGCTCCCTGATTCAGTGCCTCTGACCCCCGCTTCTCTCCCGCCTGGGGCTAGAAGAAGAGGGGTGCCCTATAGCCTGGCCCCACAGGACACTAGCCCTCTGTTGCCCCACCTGTGACCTCCAGGGAAAGGTCAGCCATCCTGGGAACCACAGATGAGACCCAGTATCACGAAGCCCCAGCACTCAGCCCCCAGCCCCCACGGCACAGGCCCTGGGGTACACTACAGTCCTGTCCACACAGCGACGAGACCCCAAGAGTCTGTTTAGTTGGTTTTTTTGGGGGGGGGCACACTCTGTGATGCTCAGGGGTTACTCCTGACTCTGAACTCAGGAATTACTCTTGGCAGTGCTCAGGGGACCATATGGGATGCTGAAGATACAACCTGGACCCACTGGGTGCAAGGCAATCACTCTCCCTGCTGTACTGTTCCGGTCCCCATCGGCCCAAGAGTCTGAAACTGGGGGGAGAGAAACGGAAGAGAAGCACCTTGGCCTGTGACTGTGCCTGGCACCCAGGCACTGGGGCCTTCGAGCAGAGCTGTGGGAACCCATCTGTGCCCTTCTGCTTCCTGTGCCCCTCACAGCTCAGGGCGCCCCAGGGAGGGCCCCTCTGACCCCAACTTCGGCCTCATGCTCTCGCACTCAGGGCCTGGCGATGATCGCCAACAGCCCTATGGTCTCCTGAGCACCGCAAGGAGTGATCCCTGAGCAGAGCCAGGAGTAAGCCCTGAGTACCATGGGGTGTAGGACTGTGGCCCGCCAAGAAAATAAATAAAAAAGCAAGTTTAATTCTTTTTTGGGAAAAGCTGGGAACCAGCCAGCCTATATCTGGCTGTGCTAGGAAACTACTCCAGTCTCTTTGCTGGGGGGGTGGGGGGGGGTGGGAGGGCAGGTGGTACTGGGATCAAACCTGGACCTCCCTACATGCAAAGCATGTGCCAAGTCCAAGCCTCCTACATGCAAGTCATCTCTCCAGGTCCTAAGAAGAACTCTTTCATTTTTGTTTGTTTTGTTTTTGTGCAGGGACTCTGGGGATGGGAGTGGTGAAGGCGGTGCCACACCCAGTCCTGCTCAAAGGGGGTTTGTTTTTGGGTCACACTCAGTAGTGCTAGGACTTAATCCTGGCTCTGTGCTCAGGGATCACTCCTGGCAGTCTCCTGGCAGTGGGTGAGCCGTGTGCAGGGCGAAAGCTCTACCCAATGTATTATCTCTCTGGCCCAACAAAGGGTATTCTTTCTGGGGATGAACCACACCAGCTATGCTCAGGGGTTACTGCTGGCTCTGTGCTCAGGAGTCACTCCTGGCCATGCTCAGAGGACCGCATGGGATGCTGCAGATTGAACGCTGGTTGCCCCTGTGCAAGATAGGTGCCCTACCCACTGTACTACCTAGTCCCCCAAGGGTATTCTTGACTGCTCAGAAGTGAACACTGGCAGTGCCTGGGGAACCCATATGTGGTGCTAAGAACCAAACCAAGGTCAGCCATATGTAATGCAAGTGCCTTACCCTCTGTACTATGAGTTTTTAATTTACTTTTTCGGGGGGAGCACACCTGGCATTCTTCAGGGTCTGCTCCCAGCTCTGTGCATGGGGTCGTTCCTGGCAATACCCGGGACCATGAAGTAGCAGAGGCATCAAACGCAGGCCTCTCACATGCAAAGCATGTGCGCCTTGGAGCCATCTCTCTAGCCCCAGGCTTTAGTTCTTGTGTTCAAGACCCAAGGGCAATAGAAGAAGCCGGAGTGCAGCTCAGTGGGGACGCACAGCCGCCCACGTGAAAGGACCCGAGTTCCAGCTGTGGCATTGCACAGGTCCACAAGCACTGCCATGTGTAAATTCCCCCACAACCAAACATCCTTCTCCCCACAGAAATTCAGTGCGGGGCCGGAGTGATAGTACAGTGGGTAGGATATTTGCCTTGCATGTGCCCAGCCCAAGGTTCGATCCCAGTATCCCCAAGCACCGCCAAGAGTAATTCCTGAGTGCAGAGCCAGGAGTAAGCACCGAGCATCGCTGGGTGTGACCACAAAAATAAACTCAGTGAACTCTAATATGTTTTCCCGCATGAGTACATAAACACTAACATGGAATAAATAATAGATCCTCTGCTTGGGGAAAGCTTGTAGATTTTGTTCCCATCTGTGCCTGGAGCATCCTCAGGCCTTTACCCAGTGGCTTGCCTTTCACCAGAGGACAGAGGTTCCCCCAGAACCAGAACCTTCACAGCTCGGTATTGCTGGCACATGTCACATTCCAGAGAATATTCCCTTTTGTACCCAGATGGATGCCTAGTCCAGATGCATGCCAAAATGACGTCACCAGTGAGAAGGGTATTTTGGGACTGGGGGTGGCCCAAGCGGCATGTACCTTATTCAATCCTTGAGCACTGCTGGGGGTGACCCTGATGACCTCTGAGCATTGCTGGGTGTGGTCCCCAAACAAAGGAAAAAGAAAGTCAACTGTTTATCTTTGGTGTTTCAAAAATGCTTGGGGTGGGACCGGAACAGTAGTGCAGCAGGGAGGGCCCAAACCTGGTTCAATCCTCGGTATCTCATATGGTCCCCGAGCACCGCCAGGAGTAATTCCTGAGTGCAGAGCCAGGAGTAACCTCTGGGCATCACTGGCTGTGACCCAAAAAGAAAAAAAGAAAAAAAAAAGAAATAGTCCAGCAGGTATGCGGCTAACTCAGGTTCAATTCCTCACACCAGCACCACATGATCGTTGAGCACAAGCCCAGAGTAGGTCCTAAAAACTACCGGTGTACCCCAAACCAACAAAAATGAGCATCTGAATGTCCACGTGAGGGTTTTGGGTTTTCTGGTTTTGTTTTGGGGCCACATGCAGCTGTGCTCCTAGCTCTGTGCAGGCTCAAGAACCACTACATGGGGCTCCGAAGACTACATGGGGGCTCAGGATTGAATTCAGGTTGGCCACATGCAAGGCAAGGCAAGCACCGGACCTGCTGTACTATTTTCCCAGTGCCCTTGAGTTGTTTTTGGTTTTTTTTTTATGTGATTCTTGTTTCTTCTCTCTAGTACTGGTCTCAGTTTCTGCGTTTCTGCTGTGTTCCATCTGGGCTTTATGCTCGCAACAAAGTTAGGATCCAACTCCTTCTTTCCCCAGATGGTTACCCAGTTGTCTTCACACCGTTAACTGAATAATTCATCTTCCCCCCACATATTTGAAATGTCATTTTACCATATACCAAGTTTCCACATATATGGGAGTACTTTTCTGCGTTCTGTTCTGTATCAGAGGGTCTGTCCTGTGCTGGTCACTGTGCCTTTTAAGAAGTACTGCACAGGGTGGGGTGGGGGCCAAGAGGCAGATCAATAGTCTGGAGCACATGCTTCGCACACAGGAACCCTGGATTTCATCCCTGGCACTGCATGTTCCCCAGAGCACTGCCAGGTGTAGCTCCCAGAACTGCCTGATGTGGCCCCGAAACAAAACGAAGCAATGCCCCCTCCTTTTCTTTTTCTTTCTTTGCGTCACACCCAGTGATGCTCAGGGGTTACTCTTGCCTCTGCACTCAGAAATTATTTCTGGTGGTGCTCGGGGGACCATGTGGGATGCCCAGGAATTGAACCTGGGTCAGCCACATGCAAGGCAAACGCCCTACCCACTGTACCATCACTCTGGCCCCCCTTGTCATTTTCATTATTTCTTTCCTACCCTTCTTTCCCACTTGAACTTTTGAACTAGTATTTTTTGTTTTTTGTTTGTTTAATGGTTTTATGTTCGCTTGGGGGAGACCATGAGATACAGGATATGAGCCTAGGATCCTGTGCTGGCTGGTGTTCCAGCCTTTTGAGCTGTCTTCCCGACGAGTGTTTCATTTTTATTTGAATCACATCAGAAAAAGAATTGGGGGCGGGGTGGTCACACCCAGTAGTGCTCAGGGGTTATTCCTGTCTCTGTGCTCAGAAATCACACCTGGCAGTGCTTAAGGGACCATATGGGATGTACCAGGCCAGCTGGATGCAAGACAAACGCCCTACCTGCTACATTATCAGCCCCGGATCATATGGATCATATAGAATGTTTCAAATAACTTATCAGCAGCTGGCGAGGGCTCAAAGGGCTAAACCCTGCTCTGCACACAGGAGGCCTGGGCTTGCTCTTCCATGCACGATCTCTTGAACGTGGCTGAGAGTGGTCCCCAAGCACTGCACTTAGCATCCTGGATGTGCCCCCCAAAACAAGACAAAACAAAGTTCTTGCATGCACATCTATTCTTACATAAATTCACTCCTATTTATCTTTTTTGGGTTGCTTTTACCAAAGCGCTCTCTTCATATACATGATACATTGATGATGTAAGTCTATCCTTACAAGGAAATCTTTCAATAAGCCACATAACATAACGAGTTATGTAATAACTCACTGTGAAACTCCAGGCTTGGTTCGGATTTCACTTGTTTGCCCACTCACGTCCTTCTCTGCTCCCAGATCCCACGTTCCTGTCGTGCCTCAGTCTCCGCTGCTGGTGTGTGACTGTTTCTCTGACTTTGTCAGCACCTTGGCGGTTTCCAGGAGAACCGGTCACGTGTTTCATGCCCAGCTCTAGGGCTGGGCCTCTGCTGTTTTCCTCACGGTCCGTAGAGGAGAGAGGGATTGTGAGTTTAGAAAGAAGACTGTTGTCCCCACCCCTTCTATCACAGGAGCCCCATCACCTGGCCACCGCGGGTTGCTCTCACCCACTTCTCATGCTCTGATCTTTGGGGGAGCAA